TCGGACTAATGAAAGGACAGGGTCCTCTCATTGCCACGTGCAAGTCCCAGCTGGAGGGCAGGGCCCTCCCAGCACAATCATAGCCAACGGCTGTGGTTGCAAGCTTGAACCTATGGTCCGAACACGTGGCCCCACGTGCCTTGTGATAGAGTTCAGGTGCATGTACGTAAGTGAGGATGAAACTCACGAGAATGCTGTAAACAACGTGATCACGCCCCTACTTTGCCTCGTGGCATCTGCTATAAAATAAAGACGGGGCTTGTGGGCGCTGGCGCTGTCTCCTCATCAGGGAGCAGCGTCCCATCGAGACCCAGCTTCATTCTCTTGTCTGTCTTTTCTCAATCCTTTCACCCCCCCCCCCCACTCAGGGCCCCTTTTGGCCGTAACAGGAAGCCCCCACACCCCAACTCCCTGCCACTCCCCTGGCTGCAGGGCCCAGCCCTCCTCCTCCGCTCAGATCCCGCCCCTGCACTCACGTTCCCACCCTCTGTCCCTTCCTTCCTTTGCTCATTCACCTGAGGACCACGTACTGGGCTCCTCCCTGGGGTCAGGGCCCAGGCCCCAGGAGGGAATCAGGCCGAGGTCCCTGCCCTCTACAGAAGCCTCTGGATGGCGGGCAAGACAGGTGTGCCAACCAGCAGGTACCGGTGAGGGAGTGCGTGTGGTCAGACCCCTGTGCGTGGTTCAGAAGGTGAGCTTGGACGGGTGGGGAGGGCCACACCAGGGGAGGTGACACTGAAGCTGGGATTTGGGGGACCATTTAGAATTCATCACAAACTCTGCCCCCAAGTCCTTGGGCCCCCTCAGACCCTCTCACCTCATTACCAACGCCGTCCATCATCTTCCACAGGCCGGGGCTGAGAGCCGCGGGGTCCTGCCCGCCAGGCAGCCTCCCCAGGCCAGGGTCCCGCTGTGAGGCCTGCGTGAGGCTCTGACACCCCGTCCAGACCCCCTTCTAAGAATCCCGTGGACCTGGGCCGTCATGCAGGGCCCTGGCTCAGCCCCGCCCTCGGTTTACTGCCCCGCGGTGCTGCCTGGCGATTTGTAAACCCTGAGCCGGACTCGGCGTTTCATCTGCACTGAGCTCTGCAAGCCCAGCAGCGGCTCTGACCCAGCCTCACCCGTCCCTCCAGCAAAGACACCAGGACTCGGGCTGCTTAGGGTCCTGGGCAGCTGGCATAACCTAGTGCACCTTTCACAGTATTTCCTGGCCTCACTGCTGACTCGGGAAGAAAGTTCCTGGCAACGAAGAATGTCCTTGTGAGACGTTCTTTTTATTAAGAGACGTGACATTGTCCATGAAGACTCCACCGGCGCCATGGGAATCCGGGAGGTCATTCCCGCTGGGAAGAGGCTCTGTTTAGGAAGTGACTCCCGATGGAACGCCTTAAGTTGCAGCTTCCCTGTGAGTGTTCATGTGCTCTGACATACAGTGGGGCCTTGACTTACTAACAAGTTTTTCGAGATAGCCGTCTCTCGGCCGATTTTTTGCTTTGAGTTGCGAGCTAAAATTCGGTTTACGAGCCAGCTTTAGATACCCCACCGCTAGTTGGCGCAGCGAACGTCACAGTGAACGCCACAACATCAGCCCAGCATCACGTGTCTCACTCGTTCACTTTAAGATTTGACATACGAGTAATTTGAGTTACGAGCTCTGTCACGGAACAAATTAAACTCGTAAGTCAAGGCCCCACTGTATTCACAATCATTTACTCCGTCTGCCCAGGCGCCCAGCATGCTGAGCTCTAGCTCCAGCTCCGAGCAGCCGGGAGCAGAGGGGAGACGGACCGCCCCCCAAAGGGGTCACCTGGGAAGTGTCCCGAAGCAGGGGCCGCACAGATGGGATCTGCCAGGGGTCCTGGAGCTTCCAGGCAGGAGGTAGGGATGGGGATCCCGGGAGAGGGAGCTTGTCAGAGGCGCCAGGGTGTGAAGGTGAAGGGGCTGGAGGAGGCCAGGCAGTGGGGAGGGCTGGGTCAGGAGAGGAGGGGGCCGAGAGCAGGGCCTTGTGCTCCTCTGAGGGGCGGGCGAGGCCGGGGGGTGCAGGAGTGTCACCCAGAGCCTGTTCTAGGGGATGACTTGGCCCGGGCAGGAGGACCGCCAGAGCCTCGCCAGCCTGGTCCTGGGGTGCAGGTGGGGGTAAGGACCGGGCAGTGTGGGCCTGAGGTCCAGGCGCTCGGAGGGGAAGATTCAGGAATCCTCTCCAAGGTGGCACCCGACAGGGGACCCAGGTATGGAATTGGGGGGCGGGGAGGGGGCTGGTAGAAGTGGGAAAACCATCTCTTTTCTAACTCAGGGCAACGCTGGGGGGAAGGGGTGACTTACACATTAGCGGTACGGAGCCTGGGGAACGGGGTGGGGCGTTCAGGAGAGAAGAGCCGGCCTCGCCAGTGGCTTCCATGCGGCCATCGGCTGGGTGTCTCCAACGTGGGCGGGCGGGGAGAGAAGCTGGTCAGAGGACAGCAGGAGAGAGCGTTAGAGGTGGGCTGGGCCGGCCGGGCCGCTGAGGGAGAGGCCAGGCGGTCAGCAGGGGGGGCAGATGTTCACAACATCCGGGTTCACACATCTGCTCACATTCTTGCCTTTCTCACTCCTCCCAGGTTTACAAACCTTGAACCATCTTCTAATTTCCCCAATAAATTCATAGTCATTGCAGTTAACCCCAGTCCACGGCACCCCTCATGATTGTAATAATGAGCCTCATTTCATTATTATAAATGTTATTCATAACTCGTAACTACCGACCTACGATTCTCGCCAGGGGCTGCCACGTGCCAGGAGAAGGGTTTTTACCTGTGTCCTCCCCAGGGAGAGAGAAAACGGGGCTGGAAGCCTGTGCTCTGCCCTCCTGGCTGTAACTGCCCGCAGGCCCTGGTGGTCAGGCCCCGGGCCGTGTCTGCCAGGCGTCTTCGGCAAGGCCAGCTCGGCCGCGAGGTGGGGGCAGCACGCCAGGCTTGGACCTGCATTCGTTTCAGTTGGAAAGTGACTTACCGGCTTCTTCTTAGACAAGTCCTTAGGTAGGTCTCCTAATGGATGCTGGCCTCGGTTTCCTCATCTATACAATGGGGCTAATAATACCGCCTCCCAGGGTCTTCGTGAAGGATTAACGTGAGACAACGTGAAAAGCCCTGAGCATGAGGCCTGACATTGAATATGACTCCCACCGGGTGGCTGCCTCCCAGGTGTGCCACCTGCACTTTGGGGTCCAGCGGAGCCCAGCACAGCAGTCCCTTGGGGGCCAGGCCCTCTCCTGCCCACCGCCCTGGCACGGCCTACTCCTGCGCCCGCGGCTCGGCTCACTGAGCGGTGTGGCCAAGAGGGAGGAGCTGTGTTCACGAGCTCTCTGTTCCCACTGGCACTAGCGCGAGCTCTGTGACTGTCGACTGAGTGGGCGACCCCCATCTCAGAGGAGGAGAGACGGGACTCCGAGCAATCAGACCAGCGGTGCCAGGGAGGCTTCAAACTCCAGCCTCAGGCAACTGGGCTGCCCGACTCCTTTCTCCACCCAGAAAAGACAAGCACAGGGCCCAGAGGTCCATCCTGGAGCCCCATCGCCAGCCCCCCCGCACCCCCCAGGCCAAGGCCCAGGGCATAATCAGGGCAGCACATCAGGGGCAGCGAGAGTCACTGAGTGCATCCCCTGCGCCTTCAACAAACCCGCAGCTGCTGCTCCAAGCCCCCAGGTGCCCTTGGCCACAGCTCTCCAGGCTGCTGCTCTGCCCATCCACCCTGCTTGTGCCAGGCAACACCGCTGCCCACCGGACTCCCCGGGAAGACAGGCCCAGAGCCTGGCTGGCCTAAGCGCTGTCCCCTCACCAGCTCCTTGCTCCCCGCTGGGCCAGGTCTTGGTGTTCTTCCCAAGGCGGCGTGCTCACCCCGCCCCGCCCCACGTCGCCCCACATCTGGATTCTGCAGAAAACAACGTTGTCAGGGCACATTATTTTATTTTTTAAATATATATTTTTATTGATTTTAGAGAGGAAGGGAGAGGGATAGAGACATCAATGAGGAGAGAGAATCATTGATTGGCTGCCTCCTGCACGCCCCCAACTGGGGACCGAACCCGAAACCTGGGCATGTGCCCTTGACAGGAATTGAACCTGGGACCCTTCAGTCCTCAGGCTGAGGCTCTATCCACTGAGCCAAACCAGCTAGGGCTAGTCAGGGCACTTTAAATGTCATTGGCTTCCCATCGCCTGCTGACCATCCCACCTGCTTTAGGAAGCCTTTGGCCTCTGGCCCGTCAGTCCGCTCACGGGGCAGGCGCTGCCCTGGCCTGTCCTGCTTCCAGTCTGTCTTCCTCCCCCATACCCCAAGCTCCTGAGGTCACCTGCGCTCTCCCACCTCGGGAGCAGGGGGGCCTGTGGGCGCTGTCCCCCGGAAGCAGCCCTGGGCCAATGAGGGGCAGGGAGCTGGGGGAGCAGCAGCCCTGCTCTCTCCTCTTGAGCAGGACCGCTGGGCGCTGAGGTCCACAAGGTCTCCAGAATCCCCGGTACAGCCGCCCGTGGCCCACCGCGGAGGTGACTGCTCCTTACCCACCTCCTGGGGCTTCCTTT